TAATAAAAGATCAGATCACAATATCATTCATGACTCATATTTAAATTTTTTAAACCTGATTAAAAATAATTAATCCTAATAGTTTTTGAATATGTGTATATATATACATGTATATATGTTATAATATATGTACATCCATATATATGCTTATATGTATGTTTTTGGGTATACACTATACACATACACTTGCATATGTGTTCATGTGTATAATTGTGGATACATTAATATATAGATATGTGCATATGTATGTATGAGTATGTAGGTGTGCATATACATGTTCATGTATGTATGTATATATATATATATATATATATATATATATACATAATATTTCTCAACATTTACTAAAGCAATATTTTTCCTTTTTTCGTAAATTACCAAACAAGAGCCATAAAAAATCATTTTTGCCAAGAGTTCCGTGCTTTGTCCTTTACATCTGGCAGACAGAAATCCATATCAGTGTGTTTAAGTTTGTGTAGTCGTAACATCTACAAATATCTTCCAAAAAAATCGAGTGTTTTTAACAAAAAAATATTAGTGATATGGATATATAAATTATTACAGGTAAATAATTTTTGCTTCTCAATTTTATATAAAACCTTTTTTAGTTAAGTCTTATTACTATCTATCCGGTACATAATCCATTCCTTTATAACAAAATTTTTTTTCTAATTAATCTGTATTGACCATTGTTAATTAATGTTAATCAGTATTTTAAAAAACATTGTATTTGACAGAATAAACCTGATGATGGAACGTACCTAGTTCCGAAACGTCGTATTAAACATCTTCAAAAAACAAATTGTTTTTTATTATTGGATTTACTGTTCGGAAAAGAAACAATCAATATATTGAAAAAATCCAGGACTTATCTATTGAATATACTCCAGAACACAATGGGACGAAATTTCTTTCAATCACTGTCAAACACTTCAGACCACAAGCACCACACTCTGATGAAAACATTTTCAAAACTCAATATTAAATATGCAAAAGCCATCAACAAAAAAATATTTTTATTACGATGTAAAAATGAATGGATTATACCGAATTTCATAACTAATATTATCAACCAACAGTTTTTACAAACAACTTCAAATATATATAAAATTGAGCGGCAAATATCATACTTACAAAATTCAGTACTTAAATTAGAAATAAAAAATTCTTTTATTGACATAAAAAATAAAAAAACACGAATAGATCAGATAATAAATACACTCCGAGAAACAATAGATAAAAATACTTTTAATAAATTTTTAGAATTCGAAAATAAAAAATACGATAAACACTTTCATATTATTAAAAATAAACAAATACAGAAATTGAAAAATCTTATACAAATTCGAGATAAAAATTATCCATTTCATGTTTCTAAATTTTCGATAGACAAATGGCTAATAAATAAAACCAATATAGTCATTCCAGAAAATATCCAATACATTTTAGCACTCGGTCCAAAATTCAATTACGCACCTAGTAAATACAGAAATAATGACTTCATAAAAATTTTAAGTAACATAGAATACAATATCAGGAACATTGAGACTGACAAGCAAAATCGAATCAGGTCAAAACTATGTGAAAAACTAGTTAAACAATTAAAAAAAGTTGATAAGAGTTTCCAACATATTCATCTTAAAAGACTACACAAAGATAGAGCGGAGACCAAATTATTCATTAAATCTAATAATATAATTGTTTGTCCAGCAGATAAAGGCAATATGACGGTAATTCTTGACAAAGAATTTTATACTAACACTACATTACGAATGCTAAAAGATGATACTACTTACAAAATCATTACAAATGATCCAACACAACAGTTTTCTAGACAATCAATTAAATTAATTAATGAATTAAAAAATAAAAAATTCATTTCTGACAAATTTGCCTATAATTTAAAAGTACAACATCCTATTTCCCCAAAAATGTATTGTCTCCCCAAAGTCCACAAACCTGAATGCTCCTTTAGACCCATTGTATCCTACGTTGGCTCCCCATTCTATAATATCGCTAAACACATTGCTAATATTTTAAAAAATGTCACAATTTCCTCTCCTCACTATGTAAAGAACTCTTACCAATTTGTGGATCTAATCAAAGACCGAAACATTACGGACGATCAAATTTTTCTAAGCCTTAATGTAATTAACCTTTTCACATGTGTTCCCCATGATTTAATACTTGATTCAATTGAAAAACGCTGGCCCACTATTTGTAACTACACCGACTTGCCCATAACCACTTTCAAACACATCATTAACACTGTCCTGAATTGCTCTTATTTTAATTGTTTCAATAATTTTTATCTACAAATCAAAGGTACTGCTATGGGTTGCCCATTATCCCCTGGCATCATAGACCTAGTTTTACAAACCCTTGAAATTTCCGTTTTCTCCACATTAAATTTCCAAATATATTTTTACGTTAGATATGTAGATGACACTTTTTTTATAATAGACAAAGAACAATCAGATATAATAATCGATACCTTTAACAATTACAATAAGAGCATTCAGTTCACACATGAAACACAAATCGACAACAAATTAAACTTTTTAGACGTGACTGTACACAAAATTGACAACATTATTTGCACAAATTGGTACAGAAAAACTACATGGTCCGGGAGATACCTTCATTACGCGTCATATTGTCCCAAAAATTATAAAGTCAATACAATCATTTCTTTGATAGACCACGCAATCATGTTGTCTCACTCTTCTTTTCATACCCAAAACACAACATTAGTAACTAAAACTTTATTAGAAAACGGATATCCCCTCACCCTCATCAATTCCATTACCAATAAAAGACTTTCCTATCATAAAAGTAACAATTATCAATCCATCTCCAAGTTATTCCAAGACAACAATATTAAACCAACTTTTCACAGCATGCCTTACATTGAAGGCTTATTTGATTATTTTGCCAAATTACTCAAAGAAGAAAATATTTTCATTTCAGGAACAGCTCTATATTCTTTTAAAGAAATGTTTTCAAAAATTAAATCCACCACCCCTCCTAAATTCAATACTAACATAGTTTATTCCATCCCTTGCAAAAATTGTCAAAAACAATACATTGGCCAAACATCACAGTACATTCATAAGAGAATGAGACAACATGAATTAAGCGTCACTCATCATAAAAGCCGAAATTTCCAAAGTACTCTTGTTCAGCATTCCATCGAAAACTCACATAATTTCACCTTTGAACCCAATATTTTATATAGAGAGGATTGTACTTTTAAAAGACTTTTTTCTGAAAGCAGTTTAATCTTTTTGAATTCGTCAAAAAGTGTTAATAAAAGATCAGATCACAATATCATTCATGACTCATATTTAAATTTTTTAAACCTGATTAAAAATAATTAATCCTAATAGTTTTTGAATATGTGTATATATATACATGTATATATGTTATAATATATGTACATCCATATATATGCTTATATGTATGTTTTTGGGTATACACTATACACATACACTTGCATATGTGTTCATGTGTATAATTGTGGATACATTAATATATAGATATGTGCATATGTATGTATGAGTATGTAGGTGTGCATATACATGTTCATGTATGTATGTATATATATATATATATATATATATATATATACATAATATTTCTCAACATTTACTAAAGCAATATTTTTCCTTTTTTCGTAAATTACCAAACAAGAGCCATAAAAAATCATTTTTGCCAAGAGTTCCGTGCTTTGTCCTTTACATCTGGCAGACAGAAATCCATATCAGTGTGTTTAAGTCTTGTGTAGTCGTAACATCTACAAATATCTTCCAAAAAAATCGAGTGTTTTTAACAAAAAAATATTAGTGATATGGATATATAAATTATTACAGGTAAATAATTTTTGCTTCTCAATTTTATATAAAACCTTTTTTAGTTAAGTCTTATTACTATCTATCCGGTACATAATCCATTCCTTTATAACAAAATTTTTTTTCTAATTAATCTGTATTGACCATTGTTAATTAATGTTAATCAGTATTTTAAAAAACATTGTATTTGACAGAATAAACCTGATGATGGAACGTACCTAGTTCCGAAACGTCGTATTAAACATCTTCAAAAAACAAATTGTTTTTTATTATTGGATTTACTGTTCGGAAAAGAAACAATCAATATATATATATATATATATATATATATATATATAATTGCACGTAAATGTATGACGATGCACAAATAACATAGAAACGTACATAAATGTATATATTATCCACTGTGTATGTACATATATATATATATATATATATATATATATATATATATATATATATATAAAATTCTTCTGTAACAATGTAAGTTTCATTTTTCCCCCTAAACTATAATTCGGATTTTTATGAATCCTCCTGAAGTTTGTTCGGGAAATTTTCTAGAATGTTTTGATTTATAGAAATATAGTTAGATTGTAGAAATAAATAGAAAAAATTACAAAAAACCGCTTATCATTGTTTGCCCTTGAAAATATTTGAAGCTTAGTTTGACATTAAAAACAATTGAAGACTGTCATTTGCCAAACAATTCTATTCACTTATAGCCCAGTAAACCACAAAACGTAACAAAGCCATGAACGTTACGTAACGCTGGCACGTTCGCACGAACCAGGTACGTAACCTGGGAGGCACACAGAAGCATCTATTTCGCGGGCAAGAACGTAACGGCTGTTTCGTTGCACACTAATACACCGCGGTTACATTTTTGCTACGTATCTAAATTGAATAAAAAAGCGTGTAGTTGTCTTTTATGTTACATACTTATTTAATTAAATTTCCTGCAAATATAGAATATTAATAATAATTTCGGATATTTAGTAATTTTATTAAATATTATCATTTACAATATACAAAATTTACATATTACATAGTTAACATTAGAAAACTAAAATTTGATAGTCCATAAAATGTTAGCCTATAAAAATAATTATTTATTTATTCATAATATGTATTATGTTCAACTCTCTTGGCAACTTCAGTTAAATCAGACTTGGTAAAGTTAAGTCTTAAATTCTCTTCATGTAGAACCTTAATATACCAATTCTGTAATGCAAGATCATCAGTCTCGAAATACTCAACAATTCATGTTCTCTTTAACACTTAATCCATATAATGTGTGATATCCGGTCCATTCTTTGTTTTCCTTCTTGAATGTTTTTAAGTCTTGCTTGTTTCTTTGGTGACAATTTATCTTCTTGATTAGAGCAAATTTCCCTAGTTTGAATTCCATTTTGACATAACCCATAGGGGTTATGAGCACTCTTTCTCTAGAATTGAAAAGCAATTTATATCAGTTTTTGCTTAACTGAATAGTTCTGATACTAATGAAATTATAAAGAATATGTATGATACCAAATATATTACACTTATCTACCTATAATATTCATATCATATCACTGAATTGAGGTTATGTGATTTTTGACTGGTCTGTCAGAAATTTCAATAATTATGTGATAAATCAATTATCACAATACATAAACAGAATTTGCATTGCACATGACCTATATACTGAAAATAACTAATTAGTCATTAATATAATAATTTGTAAACTAAAAAAAAAAACAGTGCAATTATACTCACCTTTGCTGGTTTCGTATTAAATATGTGAATTTCCTAAAAGTAAAACATTACAAATTAGTACTAAATCATATTAGTTAAAATTCTCTTTGTGTAAAACATTAATATACCTATTCTGTAATACAATATCATCACTTAAGAAATACTCCACAATTCATTTTCTTTTCAACACTTAATCGATATGTGTTCTTATTTTTCTTCATGAATGTTTTCAAGCCTTGCTTGTTTATTTTAGTGACAAAGGATTAATAATTTCTAATATATTATCTAACTTTGTATTTATCTTCTCTATTGGAGAAAATCCCTAGTTTGAAATCCATTTTCGTAGGAGTTATCAGCACTGTAATTTTCTCTACAATTGAAAACCAACTTATATCAGTTTGTGCTTAGCTAAATAGTTCTGATACTAATGGAACTATAAAAAATGAATATGTATAAAACTATATAACTTACTTCTCTTTATTCATATATCACTGAATTGAGGTTATGTTTCTGACTGGTGTGTTAGAAATTTCAATTATTACATGATAAATCAATTATCACAATACATGAACAGACTTTGCATTGAAGGCGGCCTATATACTGCAAATGACTAAACATTATTATAATAATTTATAAATTAAAATATATTTCAGTACAATTAGACTCACCTTGTTTGCCGGTTTCATATTAAATACTTTTCCAGCTGACTGTTTAACTAATTTCTACAACTGATTTAGCACTAAATATAAAAGCAATTAATAAATAACACTTCAATAAAGGAAATATCTTGCATTTCAAACATACACGATAAAATACTCAATTATGCGTCCACGATGCACGACGATGCACTGACCGAGTTAACCTATGTTTAATTTGACATTTCGATCATAAAACACTTCACGGCTATGTTCAAAGGCAAATGTATGTGACCGCGCAACGTACCACGCCACGTACCTACAGATACGAACAAAGCAGTATTATAAACGTTTAAACGCGTCGGCGGTGGTTAAAGCTCACAACTATACGTAACAGCATCGGTTTTTTTACTTAACATCAGTTTCGAAACGAAAGTTACAAAATGTGTTACGTGGTGGTAACTTCTGTGGTTTACTGGGAGGCTAAGGCAATATTAAAATATAATAAATTCATGATTATGAATAAGGAAAATGTAATGTCTACATTATTAATGCCGAAAAGCAGCTGAGATGTGCCAAAAATTAAATTAATATAAGATGCAAATAATATAACATGAATCTGACAAGTGATGCAGTCTGCGCATGCGTCTGACGCGCACGGCGAATCATGTTCTCAACGTACTACGCGAGGTTTGCTTTTGCTTGCAATAATTTTGTTTGCGCACTTTGCGAACAGATTCGCCGTATGAATTCGTGCAAAGGAGACGTCGTTTTGCCTTACTATACTAAGTCACACAACAAAAAAAAATATTTAGAAGTTTCATTGTGTCAAAAATTCATATGTTTGTCATTGGGTACGGAATATTTACTCAATGAAGCGCTTTCGGTCTGAACTTTTTTTACTGCTTTCCATTTCGTTTGGAATTTTAGAACTAGGTTTATCTTACTCTTCAGAAGTGAAAACAATTTAGACTCCTTTACCACTTCTCGGGTGGATGACATTTCTTTTCAGTGGTGTAATTTTACTTTTTTCAAAATAACGTTGGGTATCGATAAAAGAACTAATTATAAGAGAAAAATGTTTAATAATGTTTTTCAAAAAAGCAAATACTTTTCAAGTTACTGGCTACTGAAAATTTGTTTCTTTTTTGCGTTTTTCATCATTTTTTGCTAATATCTTCAAAAATGTACATTTTAACGAAAATCATGTAATGAACATAATTATATCAATTAAAATCTTAATAAATTGCTATTGTATAGTGTTTTAGGAACATTATTAGGCTAGATATGAAAATGAGTTTTTATAGTGCTCAAAATAAGCTTTAAAATGAGTACTTCTACGTGTAAAATGAGTAAACTATCATGCAAATAAAAGACGCATATAATGTTTTTTCATATAAATCAAATAGTTTTTCAGTGCCATTTCCACCAAATGTAAAAATAATCTTATTCCATCTAGAATTAACTTGGTTTAAGGGATTTTGATGGATTCTAGAAAATACCACAACTTTAGTACAAACGATTTTCAAAAAACTAATGATTTTACGAATTAAAACATTAAAAAAACATCCAATTTCTCATTATAATATCTCTGAAAGAATACGTATAAAAGTATATATATATATGAAAATTCGAAGTATTTTTCTGACTAATTATTGTTGTTCATTATTTTTCCATTACACAAATATTGATAGAGGTATTAATTAAGGAGTGCGCGGCTGTCCAACCAGAGGTCTTTCGAGCCCTTTAACCCTTCGCCGTTTCACAATAAGAGAAGTTACGGTAAAATTTATGATAGAGAAAGTTGTAGCTCATTTAATCATCTTTAAAATAGTGTATTACAAGTTCTGATAAAATCAGAATTAAAAGAGTAATAATCCAATTAATGCGGTGGATGGTGACGGAGTGCAAATTGATTTCACTTCTGAACTTAAGATAAAGATTAGCCTATTTCCAAAATATCAAGTAAAATGGAGCACAGTAAAAAAATTCACAGAGCAATAATTTTGTTGATCCTAAGTTGAATAGAGCAGATGTGAACAGGATTTGACAAATTAATTCACTTCAAATATAAACTTAAGCAATAACGTATAATATTGATTTATTGGAAAAAAATGTAATTTAGATATTTAAATTACTAAAAGCCAGTTAAAATATGGTAAGAAATTATAAAAATTATAGGCAACATTATTGAAGCAATTATTTTGGGTAGAAAAATAACAGGTGATATTGCACCTTTGCCGCAAATGCTATATATTAATTCTTTCTGAATTTGTTGTACTTTTTAAAAGATTTCAATTTTCAACACGAGTCTCTTATGCTATGACCATAAATCAAAAAGGCAGACGATCATTTTTAGTGTAATAAATTTGGAAAATCAATGTTTTAGTCGTGAATAAACAAAAAATTATTCATTTATACATCCACACCTACACCTACAGGTATGACTAAAAATACTATATAACCCTTAAATGCAATAAAATAAATTGAGCTATTGAAAATAAATTTGTTCTATAAATCGCAGTGTATAATTTTTAATATACAATTTTATTGAACATTTTTTGTTAAATGAATACGTAAAGTGTTAACCGTGGGAATTGAGAACAATCATTTTATTTGAAACAGTTCTACATTCAACATCACTCATATATTGGTGTAAATAGTAATTCAAAAAACAGTAATTATTATTTTTAACTAATCATCATTAGTATAAAATATTGAAACATTGTAGACGTGGGTACAGAACAACGTCTGTCGGGTCAGCTAGTATATATATATATATATATATATATATATATATCATATATGATTACAATAGATGCTACTAAGCTTTATAAACTATGTACGAATAGCATATAAATGTACATACATGTACACATTATCCACCATTTATATATATATATATATATATATATATATATATATATATATATATATACATATGGTTGTTCAATGTCTTGTGTGGACAGGGAGGTGTGAGTTTAAGCCTCGCTTTCTTGTATTCAAAAATAGCCCAATTGCAGCACTGCAAAATGAAATGGCATTTACATATCACACACTATTCTTCCCTGATTTGAGGTCGAGTTTTAGCTCACAGACCTGCCCTAGGGCACAGACTCCTATTATGTGTGTGTGTGTATGTTTTCATGTCAAAAAATTATCTAAATTATATATTTTTTTTTCTAGATTTCTAAAAAATTTAAATATAATTTAGACATTATCTATACCATATAACTAAAGTATCGAGAATTGATCCAAATAATAAATACCAAACAAGAGATAGAAGTTACTAGAATTCTCTTCATGCACTCAAAAGTTAACTTAAAAGCCCAGCAACAACAATTCAAAAAGATCATAAACTTATAATACAATCAAAAAAGAGGAACATATATATTATATATATATATATTCAAAAATAAAGAATAAAATTTATGCCTAAGATATTCTTGTAAATTAACTCCGTTTATATACATCCTGGTGCTCAATCAAATAATGATTAAGTTACATTGAATCTATTTATAGTCCCTATCAGAAAATCTTTTCTGCACAATGCGTTAATCTGCTTTTAAAGTTGAACAAAATATCATTATCATCATTATCACAAAGAAAAAGAAATCATTATGTTCTCATAACAGTAACTGGCAAAAGTTCAAGAAAGTTATATGCAAACACATTTGCCAATTTAATTAAAGAATAAAACCAAAATTACTTGCATCTGAAAAGCATATCAACAGCTTACTAAAATGAATTACTATATGGTGATGTCATTTAAAAACTATTTTGCTGTTATCCGGTAAATCATTGTACAATACGAGTATATCATCTATATACTTCTCGAAATCTGTTAAACATATTATCACCAATAATAAACGGAAATAAGCTATATAGCAAAATATACTCCATGAAGTAGCCACTTATTTACAATTTCTACATTTGCTAAAAATTTAACTTCATTATTTATTACTATAAATTTATAAATAAAAACACATTCATGAACAATCACAAAAAATATGAACATTGCGCATAGTTCAAGTATCAAGTATTTGATTTGAAAAATTTTGAAAGAGACAAGAGCATGATCAGCAAATAAACTTTTCCTACCATTTGCCAGTTCCTGAAAACCAACAATATGATCCTTTTTACAGTCGTAAAATAATGCAGATGATAATGATATATTTCATCAAACATCAGAATACAGTTTTTGCTATTCACATATTTTTTCTGTGCCATAGCTGAACCCAATGTTTGGAAAAGAGCCTCATTAATACCACTATACAAAGGAATTGCTCTCAATGTTTGAGGAGCAGGCAAAACAAATATTTTTCTCCAAAAGTTGGAGAAATTTTATGCAGAGTTAAAGCAAGAATTTTATCATTAAGTGTAAATTTTCTTCCTTTTGGCTTTTTCGTATGTTCTCTTAGTTGACTTAATATAAAATTAGGAACAATCTTATTTCATGTTGCTGGGAGATAAGCAAAATTTTCAGCACATTTGAGACTTTCTTGTAACTTCTGCCTCAATGTTTTTTTTGTATATTTATCCTTCTGACTTCTTTTCTCAACACATTTGTTATATGGTATAAATTTTGTTTTTTTAATAACTGGTCTCTGCACGGCTTATATCTTGAGTTAAGAACCGCTGCTGAAAAAAAAAATCTAGAATCATTTGCTACAAACATAAATTGTAGTATAAAAAATTTTAAATAACAAACCTTTCAGGGACGGTTTTCCATCTTCAGTTTTGCTACTGCTGTAAAGTCCAAGAAAGCTACAATAAAATGTTATATTAGAATAATACAAAAAAGTGTAATAAAAAGAATAATTTTTCAATAACATACCTCCCAGAAAGGGATTTAGCAAGACGGGTGTCTTGTATTTATAACCTTAAAATTCCTAGCATTGATACTGTTAAATGTCTCATAATCAGTTATTAAGTTACAATAAAAAATTATATCAGAAGTGCTAGTAACAGATGCGAGTATTTTGTTGTGTACATATTGATAAAACTTATTAACCTAGTTCTCACCATCAGTGCTCAGCCCGGGCTCCAGTTATTTTAATAATCATTTTACATATTACTTCATTTTCTGCAGGAAATACATGCATTTTTGCATATTTGTTGGTGTTCCGCATTGTTGTACGCCGCACTTCGACATGATATTTGTTATAAACTTTTAACAAACATTTGACACTAAAATAATATTCCGCCATATTAGATTCTCGAATATTTTCTTTAGCCTGTTTTGTAGCGCTACCAGCGCTCCAATCGGGAGAGACGGAACTAAAAATAAGATTACAGATGTTTGATCCCTGATTACCGGCCATGGATAAATATATGAGATAGTTGATTGCACACAAGAGCCATCTGTTTTTAAAAATTGGCACTACTGGTTGGTACCGTGATTTTTTCGTTTCAGCACTTTATTAATCCGGTGTTTAGAGCCGTGTGTGCAACGCGCGTTTGTTCGGAGATAACACCCCATGGCATCCCCATGGTGAACACGAGGTATTCTAATATTGTCTAGGCTTTTTATGCGCTTGACTAGGAGTCCATGCCTAGACAATATAATAATATAGACGTTTCATTCTAGCGATATTGAGGTTCAAAAAAATTAGTTATTGCTACGGTCGCTATATTGCAATGGCGCTTCAATCGCCTTCCAATCGCCATTCAAATTGAAGCGCTAAAATTTGAAATAAAAATATTGTACTATCAATAAAAAAAAAATAATTTTAAAAATAATTAGAATTTTAATTTTGTATCGTAATTGTATTAATATTTGCGAAAATATAATTATAAATTAAAAATATATTAAGTAATAATAAGAATATTTCAATCAAGAGTATATATTATGATATATGCTGGGGTCAAATCAAATCAATAAAAGAAGAAAAAACAAATATGACCACAGGTTTAAATATAAATCACACATTATCATAACAATTTTTATTGGACTCTAACTTGTTACTACAATAATGTTAGTGAAATACAGTCATATGTCATTAACAAATTATAATACATGATTCAGAAATACGATATCTAATGATAACAAAATGAATTAAAATACAGTCTTGAGTATTCACATTACATATAAGTTATGATATCTTTATTCAAGCTAGACTAGCATAAGGCCTTGTCTGAAGCTTTTAATATAATGATAATGCTTTTAATGAATTAATCGCACCTTCCGTTTTATCAAGCGTAATACACAGCACACTACATTATGTATTACATAAATTCTAAACTTTCTATTATATACACTACACTTCTTCTGCATTAAGAGTCATACTTTTTGTATAAACAACAAACTTTATAAACAATTAAAACTTTATAAACAATTATATACAACACCCTTTAACAGAACAGTCACAAAACACAATAACAATCCCGATCAAAATGGCCGCTTAATGCTAGAGACAGCTAAAGAATTATCAACCTGTCACTTGGTATCGGCGCACTAGCGCCAAATTCTCACCTTGTTGGATACCACGAAACACGGTTTTTGAACGAGGATTTTGCACTGAGTGAAAAGGCCGTGAGTCCATGTATATAAGGTCTATGATTTAGCTGCGTGTATTTTGTAGAGTGTGGGTAAAAACGTCATTGGTATTGGTGCATTGGTCGGTCATTGGTCTCTGATAAATCTGATAAATGTCAAACATTACACATCTCTTGTTTAGGTTAGTCTCGGAAAGTTGAATTGCAAAAATAATGTAATTTATTGTTGTAGGGCAGTTGAAATGTTGAATTAATCCGGATATTAATTGTATATATATTTTTTTGAAGAGATATTTACTACCGTTGACGTTAAGTGTCCACTTCATTCAGTAATAAATACGTGTACACCAGAATATTATTACAAGCTTACTGATGCCGTTTACTAATATATAAATACATTCGACGTATGTTTAACTATAGTCAGAAATAATTTCAGTTTATCAGTTTGTGAGTTTCGTTGAATGCAAATATTTATTTATATGTCGTGTTTTACTAAAGAAATTATAACATACTATATGTAAAATGAAGTATAGTTTGGTTTTATTACTATATGCATTATTATTACAATCAGTCACAAATGAATCAGTAGAAAATAAAAATTATAAACCAAAAACTGATTCAAAATCTGATTTAAAATCTGATTCAAAACAAGTTGAGTCAGAAGAATTACAAATTGTGGAAGATCTAAATAAAGAAAATCGACAAAGCAAAGGTAATATATGCATTTGATAATACTGTTTTTCTAATCTATAGACCATGTAATATCTAACTCAGGTGAAAAAACAGATGACGTTTATATATCACCTAAGTCAGGTAATAAGTTATGGGAAGAATCCGAATGGGTAACGGAACTAATATCGAAGCTTGAATATAACATTGGTGAAGAGTCTTTGAATGGCAATAAAGACGATGTGTTGACAGAATCACTACATTTTGAGAAATCTACAATTCAAAGTCAGTCATTAAGAAATCTTCCAGAAAGTGAACAGAAAGGTATTTTATTATTATTATTTTTTTTCAAAATCATGAAATGACCAAGCTATTTTCAATTTGTTCCAGCTGAATTATTGTACAAAAAAGGATATTCTATCTTGAATAAAGCCAGACCTGAACTAGAATCTGGTTTGAATTTAATGGAACAGGCTTCAAAATTAGGACATGCAGGTGCGAAAGCAGAAATTATATGGGCTGATTTGCTAGGAAGGAAAAACAAAGACAGAATGCTTGGAACTGATGCTGCTAAAGCATTTCAAGATCTTGCAGAACACGGACTACCTTCTGCCCATATGGTATGTGCAACTGCATTTCATATTCTTAAAGTATATTTTTGATTTTAATATAAAATGAAACTTCATATAGAATTAATTTCAACCAAACTTTCTTTCAAACCAAAATATTGATAACAAATAATTCTATATATATATTTATACTAGCTGACCCGACAGATGTTGTTCTGTACCCATGTCTACAATTTTTCAATATTCTATACTAATATTTACTGCTTAGTTAAAAATAATAATTACTGTTTTTTGAATTCCTATTTACACCAATATATGAGTGATGTTGAATGTAGAACTGTTTCAAATAAAATAATTATTCTCAATTCCCACAGTTAACACTTCAATTATTCATTTAACAAATATTAAAAAATATTCAATAAAATTGTATATTAAAAATTATACACTGCGATTTATAGAACAAATTTATTTCCAATAGCTCAATTAATTTTATTGCATTTAAGGGTTATATAGTATTTTTAGTCATACCTGTAGATGTGGATGTATAAATGAATGATTTTTTGTTTATTCACGACTAAAACATTGATTTTCCAAATTTATCACACTAAAAATAATCGTCTGCCTTTGTGATTTATGGTCATAGCATAAGATACACGTGTTGAAAATTGAAATCTTTTAAAAAGTACAACAAATTCAGAAAGAGTTAATATATGGCATTCACGGCAAAGGTGCAATATCACCTTTTATTTTTCTACCCAAAATAATTGCTTCAATAATGTTGCCTATAATTTTTATAATTTCGTACCATATTTTAACTGGCTTTTAGTAATTTTAATATTTAAATTACATTTTTTTCTCTAATAAATCAATATACATTATTACTTAAGTTTATATTTGAAGTGAATTAATTTGTCAAATCCTGTTCACATGTGCTCTATTCAACCTACGATCAACAAAATTATTGCTCTGTGAATTTATTTTATTGTGCTTCAATTTACTTGATATTTTGCAAATAGGCTAATCTTTATCTTAAGTTCAGAAGTGAAAACAATTTGCACTCCGTCACCATCCACCGCATTAATTGGATTATTACTCTTATAATTCTGATTTTATCAGAACTGTAATACATTATTTTAAAGGTGATTAATTGAGCTACAACTTTCTCTATCAGAAATTTTAACGTAACTTCTCTTATTGTGAAGCGGCGAAGGGTTAAAGGGCTCGAAAGACCTCTGGTTGGACAGCCGCGCACTCCTTAATTAATATCTCTATCAATATTTGCGTAATGGAAAACTAATAAACAACAATTTGTCAGAAAAATACCTCGAATTTATTTCAGAGATATTATAATGAGAAATTGGTTGTTTTTTTTAAATGTTTTTTTTTTTCATGAAATCATGAGTTTTTTGAAAATCGTTTGCACTAAACTTGTGGTCTAGAATCCATCAAGATCTCTTAAACCAAGTTAATTCTAGATGGAATACGATTATTTTTAATTTTGGTGGAAATGGCACTCAAACGATTTGATTTAAATGAAAAAACATTGTTTGCGTCTTTTACTTGCATGATAGCTTACTCATTTTACACGCAGAAGTACTACTCATTTTAAAGCTTATTTTCAACACTATAAAAACCCATTTTCATATCTAGCCTAATAATGTTCCTAAAACACTATAAAATAGCGATTTATTAAGATTTTAATTGATATAATTTTGTTCATTACATGATTTTCATCAAAATGTATATTTTTAAAGATATTAGCAAAAAATGATGAAAAACACAAAAAAGAAACAAATTTTCAGAAGCCAGTAACTTGAAAAGTATTTGCTTTTTTAAAAAACATTATTAAACATTTTTCTCTTATAATTAGTTCTTTTATCGATACCCAACGTTATTTTGAAAAAAAAATTCCAAAATTCCAAACGAATTGGAAAACAGTAAAAAAAGTTCAGACCGAAAGCGCTCCATTGAGTAAATATTCCGTACCCAATGACAAACATATGAATTTTTGATACAATGAAACTTCTAAATATTTTTTTTTGTATTGTGACTTAGTACAGTATGGCAAAACGACTGTAAATTCAATATTTTTGAGCGCAATCACTTATGGCTCGTCTCCTTTGCACAAATTCGTACAGCGAATATGTTCGCAAAGTGCGCAAACAAAATTATTGCAAGCATGCAGACGCACGCGCAGACTGTCAGACGCATGTTATATTATTTGCGTCTTATATTAATTTAATTTTTGGCACATCTTAGCTGCTTTTTGGCAATAATAATGTAGACATTACATTTTCCTTATTTATAATCATGAATTTATTATATTTTAATATTGCCTTAGCCTATAAGTGAATAGAAATATTTGGCAAATGATTTGAATTCATTTGTTTTTAATGTCAAACTAAGCTTCAAATATTTTCAGGGGCAAACAATGATAAGCAATTTTTTGTAATTTTCTTCATTTATTTCTACAATCTAACTATATTTCTATAAATCTGATAATTCTAGAAAATTTCCCGAACAAACTTCAGGAAGATTCATGAAAATCCGAATTATAGTTTAGGAGCATTAAGGGGTTAGGGGTACTTGGAGGCACGAAAAAATGAGAATTTTCAGTAATTTTTTTTTGTTATTAAACGATGTTTTTTTTTACAAAAATATTAATACGGCATTATTATACAATGCCTTGACTTGAAGTAACAAAAATTTCAGGAAAAAAAAACATAAATATTCCCAAAGTTATAGCTGTTTTTGATAACCCTGTTTCAAAAAACGGTCCTGGCGGTGACCATCATAACTCCTTAGAGTTTCATCTAAAATCAATCAAATAAAAAAAAATAGTTTTATAAATATATAATCCTGGGCCTGATCGAAGATTTTCTTGTTTTTGCAAAAATTACAAAATGGCAGCATCAGAAACAAAAAATCTAGATTTTTGGGTAAAAAATCAACAGTTAATTGGTCTTAAAAAAATGAATTTTCTGAAAAAATAAAAATCCTTTGATCAGGAATTATAAATTTCCTTAAAATTTACTAAGGACTTTTTGAGTTACAGTGGTCACCGGTTCAAAAAACATAGTTTTGAGAAAAACTCGTTTAAAGTTTCACATTGGATTTACGTACAGAAATTCGAATTATTGAATTACTTAAACCGAGTTATCTATTTTTGGGCCATATAATAGTTCATCAGTCATTGTGCAAGTTTCCAAAATTCCCATTTGCTGTTGTCTACGAAGTATTCTGGCCTCCCGAGATGTTCTCGTTGGCGCGCTGATCTGCCACATTCAAACGTGCAGCATCCAATTTTTCAGCATACCAATGGGAATTATACCCACAATTAGGTCCTAGGGTATCCATAATCAATAATAATGATTATGTATATGCAATCAGCAATTTGTACGATTGTAGAACTAGTATTCATGGTTTTTAGGCATATTTTTTACACTAGTTGGTTGAAGCTTTTAATTTTTTCTGATTATGGATTCATTCTTGAACTACACATCTTGAAAGTAAATTATCATTGCTGAGATCGTTGTAAATC